TAAATACTTATACACACACCTAGTTAACCACCTACCCACAGCCATTAAAGCATCAACATGCACACAAATAGTAACTCTCTCTGTCACTCTTACACACACTTAGACAGTCTCATAAACATACCACACATTCTACATACCCTCTCTCACACACATGCTCAGACACACACCTTATCAGTAACGCACTCACAAACACAGACACACGTGTCAAATTAGACAAATTCAAACGCCTTCATAACTAGACACCCCGCCTCACACGTGTGAGCAATTTTCTCCTCCACTTGCAGATTACTTCCACGTTAAGGAGGCAAAAAGAAGAAAAAAAACAATTTCTGTACAGCAGTTCCTAGTTCCCAGTGGGTATACAGGACATTGGTGCACCTGGTTCGGCAGACGAATGTTAGACCGAATATTAGATTGTGAACAGACATCATTTTGATAACTAGCGAAGTTGGTTTGTAGCTAAGCATTGTATATATATTATGAAGCTGATCTCTTCAGCAGACAATAGGAAAACCATTCTATATGTACGCATAGTATTTTCCTTTCTTTTACTTGTGGGTGGTTGCAATTACTACCACTAGGGGGCAGTGCTGTATAAATTCTGGCTTGTGATAGGTAAAGGAATTCTCCAAGCACCATTTAGATAGCCATAGATAGTTCTCTGAGTTATAACTCCATGGATGCAATGCCGTTTAAAAAAAACTTTCTCAATTAAAATTGAATGGCATCTGCTCTGCTACAGAGAAACTCTGCTATTGATTATTTATACATAGAAAATAAACCACAGAATTCGGAATGCTGTAGGATAAAAATATTTAGCTGTACTTTTTACTGCAGCAGTTAAACTAGATAGTTCTGAAACTGAGTGCCTTTAACCCCTTAAGGACCAAACTTCTGGAATAAAAGGGAATCATGACATGTCACACATGTCATGTGTCCTTAAGGGGTTAATCTGTTGATGAAGCAATTGGCATTTACCACAGTTTTTATTGTGTGCATCTTGTCTTTCACTCCGAATCTTTTAAAGGAAAACTATAGTGTTAGAAATACAAAACTGTATTCCTAACTCTATTGTGCCCTCTGCCCCACCCCCTCCTTAAGTGGCAAATAAAGAGTTTTAAAAAAAACTTTTTACACTTACCCAATTCCTCCGCCGATGTCTCTCAAGGCCACAATGCATTCCTATGGGGATTTTCAACACACTGGATGTCCTCAGGGCACTATAGTGCCAGGAAAACGAGTATGTTTTCCTGGCACTATAGTGGTCCTTTAAGTAGGAAATATTTGCTTCTAAATTTCCAAAATGTCCACAATATACCGCAAAGTTGGTTCAAACATTATCTGTATTGCCAGAGAGAGGAAGTCCTACAAAGGTTGCCACCCAATATTTCAAACTAACAAGGTAGGACACTTTCATTTTGGGGGAGGGGGAATGGGAGAGTGGCGGTGTGTCTGTTTTGAGAAATTTTAGATGACTTACTAATAACGATTTATACAATTAAAATAAAAATTAGGACAGCAAACGTGGATATATATATATATATATATATAAATAATTATTTACACAATCTGATTTCTAAATATATTTATTGTAGTTAGACCCCTTAGTGACCAGACCGTTTTTCAACTTTCTTACCATTAAGGACCAGGGCTGTTTTTACATTTCTGCGGTGTTTGTGTTTAGCTGTAATTTTCCTCGTACTCATTTACTGTACCCACACATATTATATACCGTTTTTCTCGCCATTAAATGGTCTTTCTAAAGATGCCATTATTTTCATCATATTATATAATTTACTATATAACAAATTATAAATATGATGAAAACATTAAAAAAAACACACTTTTTCTAACTTTAAACCCCAAAATCTGTTACGCATCTACAACCGCCAAAAAACATCCATGCTAAATAGTTTCTAAATGTTGTCCTGAATTTAGAAAAATTCAATGTTAACATGTTCTTAGCTTAGCTATAGGGCTATAAGTACAAGTAGCACTTTGCTATTTCCAAACCATTTTTTTTCAAAATTAACAAAAGTTACATTGTAACACTTTTATCTGTCAGGAATCCCTGAATAACCCTTTACATGTATATATGTTTTAAACGAAGACAACCTAAGGTATTAAACTTGGGGTATTTTGACTCTTTTTATGCAACCATTTTACCACCAATCTATGCCAAATTTAAAAATATATATATAGTTGGTGATTTTTTTGACACACATAGAAATGTAAGAATACATGTACTGAGAACTTTAAGGGATACTGCCAAAGAACACCCCGATATGTGTTCAGCAACATCTCCTGAGTACAGTGACACCATCCATGAATAGGTGTTTTGGGTTCTCGGGGGGCTAAAAGACCTTATTTGGAGGGTGAGCGTTCCAGGTTTCAAACTTGGAATTTTCACAGATGGTCATCATGCACCCATATCCTATTTGGGACATATTTGAAGCCGGTCAATGTAATTTACCCCCATCAAACCATTTATTTTTGAAAAGTAGACACCGTAGGGTATTTCAAATGGTGGTATTTTAACACTTTCCATGCACTAATTCTACCACCAGTCTTTGTCAAACCTTTGTGTGGCCATTTTTTGTGTGTTATTTTTCCTTCACATTGTACTTTAGGCATGGATTCTCAGTTCCTATTATGTGTTACTTGTCAATCTTTTGGGCAATCATTTTTTGTGTTATTTTTCTTTCACATTGTACTTTAGGCATGAATTCTCAGTTCCTGTTATGTGTTACTAAAAAAAAACACCCCAATATGTGTTCAGCAACATCTCCTGAGTACCCCAATGTACAGGTTTTATGTTTTTTTGAAAATTTACAGGGGTCAAATGTAGGGCATTCCCCTTTTCCATGTTTGCACATTGAAATTTGCCAGATTGGCTTGCTGGGCCTATGTTGCCTTTGAGACCATATGGCCATGTACATTCTCCATCCACTATACACACGGCATCCATTGCACACACAACGCATCCTCTTTACACATTCTACATCCAAAATGGGGTATTGGGGGGTATTGTTATACTCAAACCCCAAACGATCATTTCAGCCTTGTTAGGAATCATCAGTGAGACATAGCTGATATCTCTCTAGGCACCGTGAGCAAGGGGTCCACGTCTGGATTACCCTTTAAGCTTAAGGAGAGCAAAAAAACAAGTCGCAAGAGAGTGCTGAGGACGGACAACAGCTCAATTAGCCTACCCTTACACACACACACAGCACCCTTACACACACACAGCACCCTTACATACAACCACACAGCACCCTTACACACACACACACACACAGCACCCTCACACACAGCACACTAACAGCACCCTCACACAGCACCCTCACGCACAGCACCCTCACACAGCACGCAGCACACTACCAGCACCCTCACACACACACAGCACACTAGCAGTGCAGCACCCTCACACACAGCACACAACCAGCACCCTCACACACACAGCACCCTCACACACACACTGCACACTAACAGCACCCTCACACACACACAGACACACACACAGCAGTGTGTGTATATATGTGTGTGTGTATATCTATCTATCTATATATATATATGTATATATATATATATATCTCTAGATCTAAATCTAGATATATATATACATACACACATACATATACACGCGGCGTGTGTGTTTGTGCTTTAGGGTGCACAACCTTATGCAATAGGCTGCACAAGCCTATGTATACACACACATATACACATAATACATGTGTATATAATATATGTGTGTGTGTATATATATATATATATATATATATAGTGCCTAAAGATAGCTGCTCACCAGTCTTTTAAAATTCAAATGCTTTATTGAAATCAGGATAAAATCAGCGACCAACGTTTCAGTCCCCGCTCGGGACTTTCCTCAGGGTCAAAATGACAGGAGAAGAAAAAAGACATGCATACAATGACAATATATAGCAATGTTAGCAATTAAGGGTAACTCACCCACGTGCAGTGTGCCGATTGCGGCTACTGTCGTGTATACTTCCGGGTTTGCGTGCGCGCATACACCTCTGTGCTCCGCCCCCAGACGTGCACGTGATACATGCCATGGTAATAGCCGGCTGTGTGTAAATGGTCTCTAAGCAACCATAGACGCCTAAGCTCAGTGTCTGTGAGAAAAGGATATAGATACCGACATGCAAAGAGGGTGATAAGATAAAACACATAAAGATTCTTAATGACATATTTGTGATCTAACTTAACAGATGAATGTGAATATTGTGGTTAAATACCGGTATGATACTGGTTGAAGTATAGTAAATAGGAGTCATATAACATGACTTTAAAGAGATAGGCTATCAAAAATTAGCAGAATGAAATGTAAGTGCTATGTTTAAAGTGATAAAGTGCAATCAAATAAAGTGCAGTGCCATGCAATCATGCAAACCCATGTTAACAAAATTAACATTAAAATATCGAAATAATGCATCATAGCTCTAAAACATATATGTTACTATAAAATACATTTAACCTACTATAAAGTATTCACACATATCATATTAAATAAAACAAAAAGGTACAAGCTGGCTGGGTTAAATAAATAAATAATAGGGGATAGTCTCATTCAGCCCTTTGGGTGCTACTGTGTCTAACTAATATATCTAAAAAGCTTCCTTCTGGAGCAGCATTCTACCTCTGTTACCACCCATCTTAGGGAGGGGAACGTGGTCTATGCCCACAAATTGAAGGGAGGATAATGGATGCCCCTTTTCCAGGAAATGTTTAGCCACTGGCCCATCTCTATAGGTTAACCTAATACTGGAGCAATGGCCCCTGATACGCTCACAGAGAGGTGTCTCCGTCTTCCCCACATAATAAAGGCCGCACGGGCACATGAGCTTATATACTACAAAGGGGGTTCTACAAGTAATGGTATGCCTGATGTCATAAACTCTAATTTTGTGTGAATGATTAAATGTTTTTGATGGGATCATATGCCTACAAGTCACACAACCTAGGCATTGAATACACCCTCATATATTGCTCGTGGTTGTCTTGGAGTAGCTGTCGACCAGATCTATATGTACCAATATGTCGCGGAGATTCCTGTTCCGCCTATACCAAATCATGGGAAGTTCCTTGAAAATCTTGGGCAGTGAACAGTCAGTAGCGACCATCTTCCAATTATCTTTGATCACAGTCGATACTTGTTGTGAAGAATTGTGGAATGTCATCGGAAACACCATCCATTGTATAGGTTCAGCTTTACCCTGAATCGGGGCTGTTTTAGCCTTGATGAGTGCAACTTTCAACACCAGGCTTTCATAACCTCTATTTACAAATTTTTGGGTCATAGTTTCCAATTGTAATTCTGCCTTAGCTTGATTGGAATTGTTCCGGATTACCCTCTGAAATTGTGCCTTGGGAATGGATTTCTTTAATGCAGTAGGATGGGCACTATGCGCATGCAGTAGGGTGGTATGATCGGTGGGCTTAGAAAATAAAGTATGTTCAATCCCATTGGGCCCACATGATAATTCCAGGTCAAGGTATTGGACTTTGTCAGTACTTATATTTGCCGTGAACCTGATCGGCGAGGGGAGATGGTTCAATGTCTCCATCATTTGTTGTGCCTCCACCTGCGTACCCTTCCAGATTATTAAGAGGTCGTAATGATAGTATCCTGTAATGTGGTCTTCATATGGCGACAGTATGTGTTGTATCTCATATACATACATGTATGCATTCGCATACATTGGGGCTACCGAAGATCCCATATATGTCCCTGCCACCTGAAGGTACCATTGTTCCTCAAATCTGAAATGGTTATTGTGGAGGATCAAGGACAAAAGTTCCAACACAAACTCGAACGGTGGACCACGGTATATTGGAGAATTGCATAAGACTTGGCGCTTGGCCATAATGCCATCAATATGGGGGATGACCATAAATAGACTGCAAACGTCCATGGTGGTAAACATGAGTATGGTATAGTGTAGTTCCAAGGTTTTAATCCTGTTCAAAAGAGTCTGTGTGTCTTTGACGCATGTGTATAGTGCCTCTACTGGTCCTTTAAAGATATGATCAAGCCATTGTGCGATAAGTTCCAATATTCCTTCAATGGCTGACACTATAGGGCGTCCGGGAGGTGTATTGGCATTTTTATGTATCTTTGGAATACGATAGATTACCGGAGTGCGGGGGTGTATTTTATTCAAAAATTGGTAAAGAGCCAATTCAATATAGCCCGCTCTTAAGGCCATATCCAGAACATCTGTAATATTTCTCTGAATTTCTAGAGTGAGATCACCCTGTAATGGACAATAGGTATTTATGTCCTGGAGTTGCTGTTTAAGATCTTCAGAATAATCAGTATAGTCCATGAGGACTATACCCCCACCCTTATCCACCGGGCAGATCACTATAGTATGATCCTTTGCCAGATAAGCCAAAAGACATCGTTCATGCTTAGTGATGTTCTCTCTCTATATATATATACACACACACACACACACTCTTTCATTTCCTATATTTGTATCATATATTATAAAAAAATTAAAGCATTTTATAATATATTATACATATATAATGCATATATATGATTTCATTATAAGTGTATTTTGAGATATATGTGTATATATTGAAAAGTACACTTATAATGAAATCATATACATGCATTATATATGTATAATAAATTATAAAATGCGTTAATTATTTTATAATATATTATACATATTTAATATATGTATAATATATATATATATATATATGTATAATTGTTTTATTTTTTTTATTTTTTAGCATCCTGGGGTACTGTCTGGCAGCTCAGATAGTCCCCCTGCTGGCAGCTCCATAGACTCCTATTGCAGCCATGTGATCATGTGGGGTGGCCGGAGCTGCTGCAGGGGGACTGCTGGGCTCTCGGGCAGTCCCCCCTGACCAGGATCAACGCGGATTGCCAGTCCAGGTAAGTCCAGGGCTCCTTAACTGTTTTTTGACACGGTCGTTAAGGGGTTAAAGACACGTTACTGGGAATATTATTGCTGTTAAGCTCTGTTATACACACCAACAATATGGAACTCCTAGAAAACAGGGACATTAAGATGCTCTATTTAAGCTCACCACCTCTTTTAAGTACACCATATCGCTATTACCCAGATGATAACATTAAATACACATACCTATTTCATACCTTCCCAGTGATACATCGGTCAGAAAAAAGGTAATTTAAGAAGCCTTGCTACATTTTAAGCTGTATTTTTTTGTGTGCATTGTTTCTCTATTTTGTATTTTGCCTTAGTAACTAAAACAGGCAAACTGCGAAACAATCTAATTGTGAGGCATTTTAACCTCCCTGGAATCTGTAAAATCTATATAAAGCTAACAAAACGTGAAAAATACACAATGTCATTTTTTTCCATGACTGAAGATTTAAAATTGAATGAAGCACATAGACGCCATGTGCTGTATGCACGTGTAGGCCTTTTCTTCTGAAATATACCAATTGTATTATACATTTAGACTGTCAGACAACATGATCCTAATGGCTACTCATTTCATACTTGGCAGCAGTATTTCTAGCTAGAATACTTACAGAAATTAAAATAATAAACAACAGTCAGAAAGGTTCTTAATACCTTGTTCTAAATGCACCAAGACCCCTGCATTTCAATAAGGTGGTCTGGTTGCAGTGCCCCAAGCATTTTAGCCATGCAATCTAAAAACAGCGCCGTTTAGTGGATATTGCAATGTTTTGAATGTTTTGAATGCAGGGCTAAACGTGCGTTTAGTGGCTGTCGTCTTGAAGCCACTAGAGGTGTTTCCACTCTCATAACAGAGTTTTATTCGGTTATAGGGCTTTGGAAGCATTTGATTAGATGTGCGACACTCACTGTGCATGTGCCTCTCATCTCAATGCTTTCCTGTGCATTGACCCTCCCACCTCCTGGACAGCATCCATTTTACATTCATTGTGAAGCTGCATTCTTAGTGAGCTGTCCAGGAGGTGGGAGGGTCTGGGAGGGAGGGTCTACTGCTGATTGGCTGGAATGTGTCTGCTGACTGTGAGGTACAGGGTCAAAGTTTACTCAATGATGACGAATAGGGGGCGGACCGAACAGCGCATATGTTCGCCATCCGTGACGAACTGTTCGGCGAACCGTTCGGGACATCACTACTTGTGAGTTCTATTCATATTGTGTACCACTTGCATATATATATATATATATATATATATATATACACAGATTGCACAGATGTGTATATATATATATTGTTTTGTAGATTCCTGCCGGTACTAACAACTGCAATTTACAATTGGAAATCTAACATCCCATACCTTTGAGAAGTATATATTTTATAAAGCACTGGGTGGTGTATGTAACAGGTTGTTTTTCCAACTAATGTTTTCCTGTGGTTTAAATATTCCATCTATGTCGGTGATACACTTGCACTGCAGTTTTCTGAGTTGACTTAAAATCTTTAAAAGACGAAAGAGACATTTGATGACAGTTTTCCTGTTTGCATTAATGTCGTATATTTGGAATTTGGTTTTTAAAAATTACTTTTCTGTAAACTCAGACCAGCCTTTGCGTAGTTTCCATTATCACACATCCATCATTAATACGGGCTCTTAAATGTTACTTATATTGATCTGGAACATTTTGAAGGCACGGCTGTAAAAGATTTTCTATGAATATAAAATAGGGACCTTTGTTAGGAAGATGTTCATGGCAAAAGCTACACATATTTCTAGACTATGCACCTAAATATAATATATATTTCATCCCAATGATGTTATTTAATTTTTATAAGGCACGTCAAGTTAAGATGGTTAGAAAAAGCTTTATGCACTATATACATTATATGAAATATCAATATAAATATGGAAAATAGTAAAAAAAAAGTAGAATTGGGATTTCCGTTCTTGTGATATTATGGTTCAGAAAGAGGGCAGGAATAATTATGATAGAAGATGAGTGCTCTCTATATGGTATGGTAAGTGGCCCTACATAATTGGCGAGACATTGAGAGAAATGGAAGAGAGCGATTAAGGCCTCGGTTTTAATTTTTATAAGCTTTTCAAATTATTTAATATTTTTGGCTGCTCTTTAAAAATGATTAAATCGTGTGAAAATTATTTTAATAAATTGATATATTTTTATATATGATATATTTCTTGAAATTTTTATATTTTGAAAATATTTTAAAACTTTTATCCAAAATATGAAAACATTTGAAAATATTCTGCAAAGAATATTAAATAGAGGTGGAAATGATAAAAAAAAGTAAGTTGTGGAATTAGGAAGTGGGGGGGGGGCATCGGGTGACGATTCTCCCCCATATAATCTCCTTCTACAAATTGATTTTAAAACAATTACATTTCAAATGGAAGATGAACAAATATCAGTGGGAAGACTGAAATATACAACATATAATTTTAAGAATGTCTATATCTTTGTTGAATAATTTATATATTTTGTGAGAATCTGCATATTTATATGAATTAAAAGTTCACATTAAATAGATCTGTATTCCATTCTACTAAAAGCCTCTCCATTAATTATATATCATTTTGCCTATAGAAAATTGCATGTTTTGGGGTTTGGTATGAAAGGCTGTCCTCCCAGACTTTGTTTGTTTCCTATGCCGTTGTTGTAAGTAATGGGAACATAAGGGGGAGCTTAAATAAAATACCAGCCTAAGTCTAGGAATCAGAAATACACAGAAGAAATAATGCTAACCAAACCAGAGATACAATAATATACCTAACATACTGATAATACATACACTAGTATATATGTATGTATGTATGTGTCTCTGTATGTATGTGTGTGTGTGTCTGTATGTGTGTCTGTAAGTACGTATGTGTGTCTGTGTGTATCTCTGTGTGTGTCTGTATGGGGTGGCGGTGGTGGTGGGGGCCCCATGAATCCGTTTTTTACTGGGCCCCATGGATTGTGTGTACGCCACTGAGTATACAGGAATGCACATAACCGCTATATGAAATCTTGATAGTGCATAAGAATAAATACAGTAAGATACAATTTATATACAGTGGTAATGCATTCAGCAGGAATTCCATTGCTGGTCGGCTGTGCACACGTTGGTGAGTGTATACAGACAGCTTCGTCATTCTGTGTTAACATAATTAATCTAGAAAAACATGCAATGAGGGTGTGTGACGTTTAGATGGCTGCCTTACATCCGTGCCATGGTGGGGATCCTGAGAATGAGTAATTGCCAGCAGGAGACACTATGCAACTAGAAAAAACAGAGCATATACATAACCAGTACCAGCATGCAATATCACCTTCATTTTGATACTCTCAGTAGGTGGGAAGCGTGGGCATGCTCAACGTGTAGCTGTGCCAGACTGAGCAAAAGAGTCTGAGGATCTTGTTACAGCTATCCAGTACATCATGCAATATAGCTGCGAGCATTCAACGATAGTTGCCCATTGGACCTCTCATGTGGCTGGCTTAAGCATTGTGACATAGTGCCATTCCCTCTATAGGTGCTCACTACATTTATTCCTTTGGCCAAACAAAAACACGCACAAAAAAAAACCCAGTATGGTCCATCAAATCTCCACTGATGAGTTAAAGGGTCACTTTAAGCACCATCACAACTTTCATTATCTCGGAGAGTGGCTACGAAGTGCAGCAATTTGTAAAAAGAAAATCACTGCAGGTACAAGACAGTCTTACAGAGCGTCAATGAGGCAGAAGGTTTATTGTAGCAATTTTGTCTGCCACACAACGTGGGCTAAGCTCACCAAACCTACACAACGTGGGCTGAGCTCAGCCTGCAGCTCCTCCAGGTCCTACTCTCATGAGCACGTTGCCGCAGTTGCCACGGCAATGCCCCGGATCTCGCGAGAGTGCACTCTAACCACTGTAACTACCAGGGATTCCCCACGGACCACCAGGGAACAAGAAACTATTATTATTTTTTTTCAATTTAATAA